CAAATTCTGCCCAAGTACCGTCCAAGTACTGCCCAAGTGCCGCTTTTCACATTCTGCCCAAGTACCGCCAAAGTACGGCCCAAGTTGCCGCTTCTCAAATTCTGCCCAAGTACCGCCAAAGTACTGCCCAAGTGCCGCTTTTCACATTCTGCCCAAGTACCGCCAAAGTACGGCCCAAGTACTGCCTAAATACCGCCCAAGTGCCGCTGCCCAAGTATCGCCCAAGGGCCACTGCCCAAGTACCGCCCAAGTACCGCCCAAGGGCCGCTTTTCACATTCTGCCTAAGTGCCACCAAAGTGCCGTCCAAGTATCACCCAAGCGCCACTGCTCAAATACTACCCAAGTACCACCCAAGTACCGCTTAAGTGCCGCTTTTCACATTCTGCTCAAGTACCGCCAAAGTACGGCCTAAGTGCCGCCCAAGTGCCGCTGCTCAAATACTACCCCAGTGCGGCCTAAGTTCCACCTGATAGCCGCTTAAGTTAAACATTTGTCTTTATTATTATTATTAATGCTGTTAACGATTGTATCTTTTTTCTTATATCACATTAATTATCATGTTTATTATCCTTACCATTGTCATCATCATCTTTATCGTCATTTTTAATTTCATCGTTTATAGAATGATCTCACAATAATATCTCGGGTCAACTAAATAACCTTTTCGTGCGCTTATTTATTTGTTTTTACGTTACTGATACTCAGCCCTTCATCTCCTTTTAATAATTTTATAGCTACACGTTTTTACTATTTTAATTACATTTGAGCGCCATCTCCTGCCCGCTAGGGGATCTATTCAGACTTTGTTTACCGACCTAGAGGTTTGTTGCTATGTTGTTGCGATCCATGACACTGCACTTCAGGGCAGCCCGCGCCATTGAAATTGGCGTTCTAAACACGCTGAAATTGAGCACTTTTGTAAATCCATTTACTTAATAAATAATTGTTAAAAAATTATTCTGTAAACGGATTTTGACTCAGGGGAAGCTGATCCACACGCTGGTCTCCGCTCGTCAAGTGCTTAAGAATATCCCTAATAAATATATGTACGATACGTACTTCTCATCTCCATATTCTGTATCCATTTTGAGTTTGTTTTCCGTCTTCTCTTGCTCCCTACATTTTTTCAGGTACCCTGAATTTTTAATATTGTTCTAAATTCGTTAATCAAGTGGTCAAGATTGAATAGCAATATAAGGCTGTAAAAGAGGTGGTTTCTCGGTGCATAGCACGGTAGTCCCAGCCTTTGAGAAAGTATTTTATAAGGCTAGCTACATTTATTGGTTTCTATTGGTCTATTATCATTAAGGTATTATAGACACTTGTCTGTAAGTGCGTTTGTTCTTGATAGTACGTTGGGCTCCCTTATTGCTTCATACCCCTGTTTCTCAGGCTGGTCTTGCTTAATCATGTTGTGTATAATTGAGTCCTCCTTTCTTGTGGTACTTTCTTCATAGGTGTAATTTTATTGGGCTCCCATTCGTTAATCCTCATTCCCAGCCTTTTCTCTGCACTTCGCTTCCTCATATTGATTATGACTTGCCTCCACAGCTCACCTGATTTTCCCCTCTAATAAGTTGTGTGTGTCCGGTTGTTTATTTTCGTTCGCGTTTCCTATCGCTAGTGTACTCGTCACTTCTACTACTTTTCAGAATCTTGGTTGCTTCACAATGTAACCTAATTTTTCGTCCGTCATTCCTTGGAAAATAAGATTATCCCTTGTAAGAGCGATTAGTCGTGCGTTCGTTTCTCCGATGTCATCTCTGACATGTAGCTATTCATTTTTCCTAAAAATTTTTCTCTCATCTAATTTTTCTGATTCCGAGTTCACTTCTCTGTCTGTATCTTTTTTTCATTCATATCATTTTTTTCGTCATACTCCACTCTTCTTTTTTTCCTCTTCACTTCATTGTTGGATGTTTCTGAGCCTGTGCATTTTATTTTCATTTTCTTTGTATTTTCTTGTATTTTCTCTTTCCTTTTTGCTCGAAACTTGTAAACCCTCACCCGTGGTCTATCGCTATTGCCTCCTCTTTCTCTTTCTTGTTGATCCACTAGTTCGTATAGTTGTTGCCTTGGAAGCTCTAGATTCACCTTTTTCTTGCTTACGAAACTGAGTCTTACGATAATGCGTCAGGTAGTCTGTTGTTTATGCCCAGTCAGTGTATAACTTCAAATTCATATCCTCCAAGTGTCGCTTTAAGCCTGTTAAAACAAATGTCTGGTTTTTGAGACGAGTGAAAGTGATTAAGTTGCTCGTATCTGTGATAACCGTAAATTTTAACTTGTATAGATATGGTCTTAGTCACTCTTTTGCAAATGCAACCGCCAATAACTCTTTGTCGTATGTCACGTAACGGAGCTCAATTTCCATAAGGCATTGTGGTGCATACTCACATGGTCTGTCTTTTCCAATCTCTCCTTGACTAAGGATGGCTCCAATCGTGTAATCTGAGGCGTCCGTCGTAGTGATAAAGGATTTTTGCATATCCGGGGCTGTGAGTACTGGTTCACTACACAGTACGTCGATAAAAAATTTAAATGCTTCCTCTTCGCGATATCGCCATTTGAATTCAGTACTACTTTTTAATCGTTTAAGTAGTGGTTGGGCGATCTTCACAAAGTTTTTTATAAATCACCTTTAATACCCTACAAATCCCAAAATTTCTTACTTAGGCCTTCACTATCGCTTGCCAACTCATTGATGACACCACAAAAATGCATCATCGTTTTTTTTTATTGGTATGTCGTAAAATGTATCCCCCAGTTAAGCTTACGTATTCTTCAAGTTGCGGGGACCTATTTAATAACCTGTATAATGGCTTAGTAATAATCGGACTTCACAAATGATAACAGACAAGAAAAAAAGCAAAATAATGGCATTCGTCTTTCTCTTAATCTACTTTAATTTTACGCTGTATTTTTATTTGGTAGTAAAATGTGGATATAAAATGAAAATAATAATCTATCCTGCAGCTAATACGGGTGTAAATTATTACTTTTAAATGTTTTCTGTATCTAAACTAGATTACTAAATAAACCTACCTATCATTTTACGTTCATTATGCTGGATTTTATATTTATTGAGCCAGGGTCAGGGAAAAACAGAAAAAAAACCAGCATCTACAATAAAAAAAAAAAAAAAATGTCTTTTCCTATAAAACAGTTGCTTACCTGGTCAACAATATCTACAAAGCCAGAATAATAAAGTTGAATATCATCCTTCTCTAACTAATACTTCGCTTTTCGGTATTGATGGGCAGAAATACGGCTCTGGCTCTGCTGAATCGTGATTGTCCTATTGGTTCTCCCTGAAGTTGCTCTGGCCTCCTGCCTTGTAGACTTTCAGATTGTTGTTGTTTATAATCGCTCGTATAAATAGCTACTGGCTCATTCTTTATCCCGTTTGGTTTTATTCCGGTACACAAGCTTGATTTCCGTGGTACTACACTATACGTGCTTATTGTCAGAATCCGTATAAGCTAAAGCAACGAAAACGCCAAACACGAAACAAAGAAATTGCGATGCTTGCCACCCCCCACGTAGCATCAAATTCTGTAACGTGAAATCAAGTGACAAGGAGGTTCTTCGTGAAATTAAACACAAGTCACTAAGAAACTTATACTTTATTAGGAGATTCTTATGAAGGCACATTAGTGTAATTATTTAAAATCCTTAACAAATCACTGTTTTAAGTTTGCTATATTGACGCACCATTTAGTAGTTATCTTTTCCTTTGACTTTCAATTCTTCCAACGACTGTATCTCTGGTGGTTGAAAGACATAAATGGAATTTTCTTCATCTTGACGATATGCGTATTCTGGGAATGGTCTTGCTCTGAATCTGTTGAGGTTAGTGGAGAAATCACCTTCGGAGTCTGAGTCCAAAGCATGGTTTTCTCTAATGGCTAGACGTAAAGGTCTTTCTTAAGGTCTACTTACACGCAGATCTAAGTATCTAATATCTTCTCATGGTACACAAAATACACAAAAAAGATAGACAAGTTGATTCTCAGCTGATGCACCAAAAAGTGGTTGCGATTGAATTTGAGTTTGGAAGAAAACGAGTCTTTGAAAGAAAAAAAAAGTATTTTATTATTGATGAACAACTTTAATTTTTCAATGTTAACGCTTTAGATTCGCAAGGCGATCTAGAAAACTGTTTTGACTCCCCACAATATTGACTTTAAGCATAAGCAATACAAAGAAGTCATGTTCTTATTTTTAGTTGACATGACAATGAAATTATCTTGTTTAATTGTTTACTTACCTGTTTATTAGAATAACAATAACAAAAAAAAATATACGAAAAATTAGGAAAACCGTGGTTTCTCTTAACATACTGATTTTTTCTCTCAAAGTACAACTTTCGGCCAACCATCTACTAGAGAATCTCTTAAGCCTATCGGTCCGTGATTACCGTCTTTGAACTATTACAAGTTCTATAAAAGAAAATGGGTTCTTCCCTATGCGGCTTTTATTCAACCACCTGTGATACAGCCTTTTATTATGACAGAGTTGTCTCTATACTTGGGTTTCAAAATAGTAATTCACAAGGCCACAAGCTTTTGAAACATAGATTTGTTCGTGTTAAGGTTGAAGTAAGAAAAATGTATAGTTACAAGGTAATAAAGTAAGAAGACAATAGTTATGTGTAATAAAACAAAAAAAATTTAGCTTTATCAACCTTCAAAATATTTAATTTACCTATTCTGGTCAAAAAAATAATTCATTGATTTTTTGTGCTTGGATGTTATTCGTATGAACTCAAAGATACCAGCTAACTTCAAAAAACTACACATGTCGGTACATTAAATAAATTATCTAATATGTTTTATCTTATTTAAAACATATGTCAGTCACAATAAAACGTCTATAAAGGCATGGCATCAGGCGTATTTGAGTGCTGAATCTTGCATGTAGCTATGCCACACCACTTCATTAAAAAATTAAAGTCATAGAAAAAAAATTTGTTTGTGGTATATAAACAATTACTTACGTGAGTAAACATGTGCAAATCGTTCTTTATTTTAACCAGTCTAGTTTTCTCTATCACCCCATCAATGTCCGATTTAAGTTCCAAAACAAATTCTTTTTTTTTCAATAAGCCAGTTACTTTTCTCCATGGTCCAGAATTATTTATTCTCATTGCATAACTATCTTTTTTTACATATTTAACATCAACGAAAAACTTTTTACTACCCACAAAGAAATGAATTCGTCTACAAAGAGTATGATTTAGCCGAAACCCAGTTTTTATGGTGAATGGATGAAGTAGACTATCAGCCCTAGTAGAAAACCGAGTTAAATCTAATTTTTCACAAAGTATTAGGCCTAGTGAGCCCTTTGCTATGATTTGAACTGGTACTGGAATCTCAGAAAACAATGATGTACAGTGTTCTTCGATGAAACCTGTATGAACTGCGGCATTTTGGAATCTTGGGTGTTTAAAAATATCTTTAATAAACTCCACGTTGGTGTCTACTCCTATAATCTGTAAATTAATCACGATACCTTAATATTTTACATGAATAAGTCAAAAAATTTACATAGTACAAATATGTGTATTCTAAGAAAAAACAACTAACGTTACATTCTGAAAGTTTACATTTCATGATATTCAATGCCTCCTTCCGATCTTTTCCCCAAATAACTAGTTTTGCTATCAGTGGATCATAATAAACAGATACTTCATCATTTTGACGGACACCTGTTTCGACACGAACATTTTCAGATTCCAAGGGTAGTGTTAAATACTCAAGTTTTCCAGCACCTGGTAAGAATCTGTCATTAGGATTCTGAAAATGTATAAATTGTACTTAGTTGTGTAAGATAGAGAAAAATATGTGACGTATGCAGTATATATTATCATATGTTGTAGTCACGTGTGTAACTAGTATACATTATTAATATGTAAGTTAGGAACAAGCGATGGCTACATAAATCATTTTTCATGAACGTATGTCAGCAGTTCCACGTTTAATGTACACTTAGGCGTCCCCAGTTTAAAAAAAAGGAAAAATTCAATGCTCACCCACGGAATGCGGTTTTTTTTTCTCACACATCTAAAAACACGGAAAAACTCGTAAACTAACAAAAAGTAATGGGAGACTAACTTTTTTCAGCTTTTCCGGGGAAATCAAGCAAGTGAACGAAAAAAGTTGATTAATTTAAAAAAGTGAACTTTTTTATTTATAACTTTTTTTCAGAAGAGCTATCAAAGTCAGGTAAGAAGGCTTTTGAAGTGCTTGAAATAAGCTTTCTTTTAAGCATAAATTAAGATCAAGATGTCGACTTTATAGAAAAATACAGATGAGTAAAGCTTAGGCTTGTAATTAAAAAAAGAAGTTTTTGTTAATTTTTGAAAAAATCACTTGAAACCACCCAAACTTTTGAGCTCATTAAAATTTTTGACTTTGTTAGAGCTCAAATTAAAAATTTTCTAATTAGCTCTTAACAAAACTAAGGTTTGCTCAAAAATATTTGTCGGGTGGAAAGTTGTGTCTCATAGAAGTTTGGATTAAAAAAAAAAGTATCGATCTTGATAATTAACGAATCCATTGACAACCATCCGTAACATTTGATACGAATATTATTTCTTACTTTACCAGAGCTTAAATAGACGTACTTGAAACCAGTTTTAATTTGAGCTTGGTTGGAGTCTTAAATCATGATTCAATTAAAATTTTCGGCTAATGTTGGCTATTAGCTTAAGCACATAAATAAATCACGCTTCTATCGACTTTTTCTAAGATTACTCAGACTCACCATTGATACTAATTTTATCTAAGGTTTTAATACTCGTGGGTGCTTATTTTCATTCTGAATATGAACTATGATTTAAAGAAAAAATTATTTTCTTAAATCTGAATTTTAATGATTTTAGAAGCAATCGAAAACCAGACGTAACTTTTGGTGTGATTACTTTTTAAAAATTGAATAATATATATAATACTTAATACTGTATACATACTGCATGAATGTTTTACAATGTAAATAAAATATTATTATTTTAACACTGTCCACTTTTTTCTATGTAATAAATAATCGTGTAAAAGCTTCTGCATTTATAATTTTTAATAATTCTCATAATGTTGGCTTTTGTTGGCAAGAATGTATTTTTCATGCCAGCCAGTTATCAAAATATTTGTACTAAAAAATTTTGATTTATAATAATAATATCAATAAACACCCAGTAGTTTTAAGAACTTCGATGAAATTAAAATTTACGATGAGTTTGAGTATTTTCGAAAAAATCAACCGAAGCGATTTCTATTATGCGATTAAATTAATAGCCACATCAGCCTGAAATTTTAATTAGATGATTATTTCAGACTCCAACAGAACTCACATAAAAACTTGTTCCAAGAACTTTAAGTTAAGCTTTGGTAAAGTTAGAAATAATTATCATATTAAACGTTACCGATGGTTTCCAATGGATTCAAAATCATTAAGATTGATTCTTGTTTTTTTTAAATCCAAACTTCAATCAGCCACAACTTTTTACCAAGCGAATACTTCTAAGCAAACTAAAATTTTGTTGGAAGTTAATTGAAACTTCTTTAATTTGAGCTGCAATAAAGTTAAAAAAATCAATCAGGTCAAAAGTTTGTTACGGAGTGTTACCGAAACGGATTGCTCGAAACGGAATTTGCAACCTCAACCGGGACTGTGTTGCCCGGGTACCCGTGGTGAGACACCCTGTAATAAACAACACGAGTCTCGCTCTCCAAGACACCTCTAGGGGCCAAGTATTGCGTTAATCTTGGACGTCGTCGCCTCTCGCGACAACTTTAGCACAACACAGGGGGGACAGGGCACACGCAGAAAAGAGTAAGCACTCGCGAGTCGTTTAAAAATAAGAATTATATTCCAAAATAATATAAAAAGAAATATAAAATGTAAAAGACATTCGCGGTTGTAGTTGAGTGTGTGTGTGTGTGTGTGTGTGTGTGTGTGTGTGTGTGTGTGTGTGTGTGTGTGTGTGTGTGTGTAATATCGCACGTCGAGCGCGGTTACTCGACGTGCTCGCAGCGCAAACTCGCTAACCGGGCAGACAACGTGGGCTATTCGAGGACCACTGCCCTGTACAATAAACTTCTTATTGGCAGGTACTCACGGCATCCCAGGGATCGCTCCTCGACAATGCCTTGGACAGGCCGAGACTACGGGTGCTAATGGAGCGGATACGCAGAGGCCAGTAGGCGTCCCTACTGGCTGCGTCTGAAGGTCGAGGTCGTCGGGGTTGGCCTTGGCTAGACCTTGTCAGCAAGACCAGGAGCAGTGTCACAACCCCAGGCACTGCACCAAGACGTCGTACCCGTTCACCGGTCGACGGTCGCCTAAATCCACACTCCCAGTGGAAACGCAACGAACACTTCTTGCGATGAAAACAAAAATTTCGCTTCTCACGGAAAACCAGCAATTTAGCTTCTCGCGAGCTTGAAGGCCCAAGCTAATCTGCCCGCTCACAGCCTCTACTCATTTTCCCCTTCTATTAATTTCTCCTCTTTTCCTAATCCTCTTAACCCCTTTTTCCTCTTTTCCTTACCTGATCTAGCCAACCTATGCAGCTTAACGGTGGGGCACCGTTACACCCCCCGACTAGACGTTGTATACCGAGATATCCAACTCTACATCCTAAGCGCCATTCAGGTAGGTTTCGGGGACAATATCCGAAACAGAGGAAATGGGGAATCGGATGGTAGAAAAGAAAGCCACTGGGTAACAATAAAAAGAAAAACGGGTACAATTCATTACTGGGAACTAAAGAGCAAAAAAAGAAAAAAAAAGGCATTGAAAAAAAAACAGAAGAAAAAGAAAAGCAACAAAAAAAACTTGATGGGGTGGTCTGCCCTTGGCCACTGTGATACCGTTGATGGGCCGATCCTGGACTGGAGGGGGTCACTCCCTTGAAGCGGTAGTGCTCAGAGCGCCTCGGGCATTCCTTGCTTAATACCCTTCAGCCCACACATGTAGCAACAGATGGGTTAGGTGATGTTCCCGGTTGCCTGTGCCTCTACTATGCAGGCCTTGACTAGGAGGCGTTCGGCCTCCTGGCAGAGCTGCCGAGCCTCAGCCTCCATCTTCCTCTTTTCCTCGAGGCATCGGGCGTCCTTGGCGCACCTACGCTCTTCTTCGTCAAGACGCTGACGCATCTCAGCCCACACCTGGTGATTGGCCGCAAAGTTGCGGTGGCCAATCATGGTGATCTTCTCCACCTCTGCAGTTGCAGCCGTGGAGCCGTGCTCGTCCACGAAGGCCTCCACCTCCGAGAACATGGCGATCGCCTCCTGGCGACTCGCCACGACTTGGTCCCGCGCCTTGCTGAGACGCTCCTAGATGCCTTTCCAGGTGGTGTCTGAATCTATAGGGGTCTCGAGAACCAGTGACTGTTGAGCCTCCTGGGCTTCTGGGGTGGGCAAGCCTGTCAGCGGGGTGGCCACCTGGTCGTCACCACTGGGCTCAATGGCCAATTGCAGAGTCGCCTTCGCCCGTGAGTTAAGGCCTCGTTTGAGAGGCTTAACAAGATTGCAGACCTCACTTTTATCGTAAGCGTGTCTTAGACACCTTATTAGGCCGCCCCAACTGATGGCTGGCGTTGACTTGATCTGAAACAGTTCTGCCCCCAGAAAACAAAAAAAAACAAAAAGTGGGGGAAGAAGAAAAAAACATGATTTATTAAGATGGAGGCGCTTACAAAATTAATATTTCACTAATTTTTGGGGCCGCAAACATCGCATGTCGTTCGGCGACTGACCTATCGCTTGGTCGCATGCTCGGATCTCGTCGCGTGGTCTGCCATCGCTCGCATGTGTCTTAGCCGTGGCGGGTGGCTTTGACACCATAGTCACTTTTCACGGACTACCTCACTTCGGCCAGGCTGGTCCAGCAGCCTCGCTTACATCTATTAGACACGCATTAGGCGGATCGCGCTTCGCCTGTTTGCCACTTTTCAACAATGGTTGAGTAGAGCTGACCACGTCTTCTTCGGACCCCGAGTCGTTAGACGGGGGGTCTTCTTCTTCCATTGCCGAGGCTCTGCTCACGTGGGGTTTCAACTGCCTCACGTGTATAGAACCCGAGTGCATGCCTTTTTCAGATTTCAACTCATACGTCTTGGAACCTAAAGCCTTCATGACGGTAAAGAGGCCGACATACCTTGGGGCAAATTTTGCCACCATTCCCTGCGTTGCTGAGAACAAGACGTGGTTCTCCCGCCATACCTGGTCATCAGGAGCGTAGACCACGTCGCGATGCTTGGCATTGTAATGCTGGGTGGCATTGGCCTGTGCCTTATAGCTTCGCTGGGCTGCTTCCACGTCCAGCATCGGCAAACGGTCCATGCATTGCTTCCAGCTCTCTAGTGCCTCATCCTCTAGGCGTTATTGGGCCATCGAATCGACCTGTCGGCGCATTGTACCTGGGGCGTATGGTTCCCTACCACTGTTAAGCATTACGAGGGAGAATCCTGTAGAAGCGTGCCTCTCCGTGTTGTAAACAAACACATGTTCAGGCAGCTCCTCGTCCCATCACCTATGATTGGCTTCAACGAAAGCTCTAATCATGGTCTTAATGGTGCGGTTCAGGCGTTCGACCGGGTTTGCTTGCGGGTGATACGGTGGCGTGAGCATATGTCGTATACCCAGACTTTCCGAAAATCCATCGACGTCTTTGTTCCAGAACTCGGTGCCATTATCAGTCAATAGCGATTCTGAGGTACCATGTCAGCAGATGACGTACCACTACTTATCATGGAGCGGTAATGACCCTACGCCCCATAAGTCCTAGGGGTAAA